CAGGCCCACCTCTCCAGCTTGTCCAGGTTCCTTTGGATGATATCTTGTCCTTCTGGCACATCTACTGCACCACTCAGCTTGGTGTCGTCTGCAGACTTGCTGAGGGTGCACTCAATCCCGCTGTCTATGTCACTGATGAAGATATTAGGTCCCAGTACGGACCCCTGAGGGACACCACTTGTCACTGATCTCCATTTGGACATTGAGCTGTTGACTACCCTCTGGATGCAACCATTCAACCAATTCCTTATCCACTGAACAGTCCACCCATCAAATCCGTGTCTCCTCAATTTAGAGAGAAGGATGTTGTGGGGGACTGTGTCGAACACTTTACAGAAATCCAAGTAGATGACAACCGTTGCTTTTCCCTTGTCCACTGATGCAGTCACTCCTTCATAGAAAGCCACTAGGTTGGTCAGGCAGGACTTACCCTTGGTGAAGCTGTGCTGGCTGTCTCGAAGCACCTCCCTGTCCTCCATGTGCTTGAGCATAGTTTCTAGGAAGATCTGTTCCATGATCTTCCCAGGCACAGAGGTGAGGCTGACAGGGCGGTAGTTCCCAGGGTCCTTCTTTCTACCCTTTTTAAAAATGGGCACAACACTCCCCTTCTTCCAGTCACTGGGGACTTCACCTGACTGCCATGACTTTTCAGATATTATGGAGAGTGGCTTGGCAACTACATCAGCCAGTGCGTGAATTCAGTAGTGCTTGAATTTTGTGTTGCACTTCCAGTAACTAATAGCAGTTGTAGTCTTTGGTTGTTTCTGCAGAAACACATCAAGAGGACTGAGATTACATGCAGTAAAATCAAAGGCTTCAAGTAAAAGTGTCTAGTGTTACTTTCCATTTCTGGTGTCTTCGAAAAACTCTATATTTGCCAAAACCCTTCACAGTACTGCTAGGCCTGTGTGGACTCCTGTATTATTTATAGCATGCCTGCAATTAAAACTCATTAAGACAAGAAAGCAGACAGTTTGCTTGCTATTAGTAAACAAATGGAAAACTCTAGTATCCACTCTCAGGGCGTGTGCTTAAAGTTATGACTGTATTTATAGGAATACACATTATAGTAAGGAAAATAGAAGTTGATTCCAAGGCAATCTTTGTTTCAGATGACTTGAGTAAGAAGCTAAAGCCATTGGTTGAGGAAGAAAGGGAATTCATTCTAGATTTGAAGAAAAAGGAATGTAAAGAAAGAAACTTTGATTATGATGGAAGAATCAATGCATGGGATCTTCATTATTATATGAACAAAACAGAAGAGCTGAAATATTCCATAGATCAAGAAAAGCTGAAGGAATACTTCCCAATTGAGGCTGTTACAGAAGGTTTACTGAATATTTACCAGAAGCTGCTGGGACTTGTATTTGAGCGAGTAGAAAGTGCTCATGTTTGGCACAACAGCGTTACTCTTTATACAGTAAAGGATAATTCAACAGGAGAAATGTTAGGGCAGTTCTATTTGGACCTTCACCCCAGGTAATTATGACTTAGTGTTTTACTTATGTGTTTAAAATGGAATTGGTCTTACTGGGTTGCTGGTGTCGTTGAAATTAAATGCATTTGGAAGTAAATATTTTTTCCACTGTCAAGACTATTACTATGTTCATTAAGTTGTCCTCTGGACTGTTTTCAGATTATTTACACTTTTTTTTTTTTTTTTGCAGTACTACCACGTTTCTTGCTTATATTCATTTTATGAAGCATTACTACTTTGTTATTTTTCTGTAGTATTGCTATCTAGTCAGTTGTCCATAATTTTTTGTCTCTATGAACTTTTCTCCTTCCTAACTGTAATACCGTGGTTTACTTTTCATTTATGTTGAACTGTTACTCCAGTCTGTTCAGATTAATTATATTCCTATCTGCCAAGTGTTCCTAGTTTCTCCCAGTTCCTCTTTACACTTTATCTGAGTATTTTGTACTCTCTTGTCCAGACTGCTGAAGAAAATATGAAATAGATCAGGACCAAGAATAGATTCCTGTGGAGCACACCTTGAAATGTACTTCCAGGTTGATTGCTGTAGCTCTTCAGCTTTCTTGGTAGCTATTTACAGCATCATCTGTGTTCTGTCAAAGATTAGGAGAGTAGACTGATTCGACAGGATTTATTCTTAGCTAGTCCTTTTTGACTGCTTTATCACTGTTTGGGGTTTTTTTTAAATTCTTCTTTAGCAATTTATAAATTGGCTGATAGCCTTTTTTAAACAAATTGATTTAAGGTTTCTCTGGGTTAAGAAAATTAGGTTAGTCAATACAACAGTACATAAATTCTTCTTTTTAAGATAGGCACATTATCTCCTTCAGCTGTTTGCCTGCTCCCCCCTTCCTGCATATCATATAAATTGCTGAACCTATTTGTTATTAAGACTATTCTGACTTAACTATCCAGTTAACTACTAGGTTTATGGCAAAAATTTCAAAATAATTTTTCTTTAAACTTTTGGATCACACTGAAAATGCAGTAAACTGTATTCTTTTATCTCCTGTAATGGAAGAAAACATAACTGCTTCAGAGGACAGAACTTAGTCCTTCCTGTTACAGTAGTAGTTTAAAATACAACTGACATCTGATGTATGTATACTTTCAGTATCTGAATAAAAATCAGATACTTGTAAATGCTGCTGTGAATCTTAAACTGATGCAGTTTAAGTACTGGGGTTTTCCCCCTTGTGCTCTTAAGAGGATCTTAAACTTAGTAAGTCTTAGAAGTCATGAAAAGATGTAATTTCTTTGTGTAAAGCTTTAAAGAGACACTGACTGATTGTCCCTGTTCTTGAATAGGCTTCGCCATTCTGGTGAGCAGGCTTGTTGTTTGAAGATAGTGTCTGATATATTTTCTTACACAGAGAGGGAAAGTATGGGCATGCAGCATGCTTTGGTCTCCAACCTGGCTGTCTTCTCGCTGATGGCAGCAGAATGATGTCTGTAGCTGCTCTGGTAACCAACTTCACAAAACCAGCATCAGATCGCCCATCATTGCTGCGACATGATGAAGTGAAGACTTACTTCCATGAATTTGGTCATGTAATGCATCAGATATGTGCACAGGTTAGTAATGTTTCAGTTCCAGTGTAAGACTTATTTCTTTCTCCACTGTCTCAAAGCAAGGTATAAGTCTGTTTTGGTGGTTTCTGATTTTAGTAAAGTATATATGCAGTTTTTTGGTTATTTTTTCGAAGTGGCAGGTTGGTTTTTTTTTTTTTTTTAATTTTTGTGTAAAACTACAGCAATGAATATACCTTCTTATGAAAAATATTTTCACAGGAACATATATTTTTGCACTTGCACTGTGCAGGTGCCTGTGACAAGTGAATAGATCCATGTGTAAGGTAAAGAAGGTGCTCAGTGCTGGCTGGCTTCTGTTACAGCTGTCAGAGGGCTTTTTATTACTTCTAGTAGCATGCTAGATATTACAAGCAAAAAAAGGTTGCTGTACCTAGGAGTGCAGATGATTTGTGAATCCAGATCACGTGCATCATTTTGGCATTTAGTACTCTTGAGAGCTATCACTCTTTAACATCAAAAGCACAAAACAGGTCTTGCCTGAGCTATTGTATTTTCTGCTGTCCTATCTGACAGTCAGGGTTCTCACAGTGACCAGAAAGAAATAAAGCTAGTCTGCAGATTTTGCATCAAGATGTCAATGAAGTTGTGTAATTGCTGGTTTCATTTTTACTTACATGTAAAATTGATTCTGCCAGATGATAAATTTATTATTGGCCTAATGAAAATTTTATATTTCAGAGAGAGAGACAAGTCTCAGTATTCATTCACCAAAAAATTAATGTAATAACCTACAAACCCAGACTTCGTGTAGCACTGCTTTCATCTTCTTTTTAAGCAAGTACCAAATAATAAAATCAGAAGTATGACACACATTAGATTTTAATTCTTGACCTTGATCCTGCAGAATAAAGGACTGCAGAATAAAGAAACAAAGTCATAGAAATCCATATATTAAATCCAGAATTAAACAAATGACGTTCAAGCATACTTCAGAATAAGTAGCTAGACTAGCTTAGATATTTTTGCATCATGTTGAAGGTAAAAAATATGATTATTTGATCATCTTCACCCTAAGACAGGTGCTTCTGAGCTCAAAAATTGAGAAATAAAACCTGTTCTTTCTTTTAAACTACATAGAAGGTGTCTATAAATGACACACATTCAGCATTGGTATAAAATTGACTGCACCATTTTGATAAACAATAAGGATGTGCCTGGGTGTTGCAGAGCCCCTTCTGGGTGGCCCAAGCCAACAATTCCAATGCATATGTACTTCACTTGCTGTGGAATTGCACACAGGTCAGGGAAGCCGGCTTTTTAGTTGTCTCTCCCACTGCTGAGGTGGTTTCTGTGTGCATAGCTACCGTGCTTGCTGCTGTTGTATTTTATGTAAATTGTTATTTGCACAGCTGAAAATAACTTGCTAGTCCCATGTAAGAACATCCTGCCCTCTGGGATCTGTGTGTGCAAAGCACTATCATGTTTCATATGGTGATTTGTTTAAGCGTGTTAAAACTTGACATTTAAAGGGTATGGTGAATCGGACTGGGTGGGAGTCTGTGAGCTACTGGTAAAGGTCAGCTTTTGGAGACTGATATTCCTTGTAATGTACTGGGGCTCTGCTGGAAAGTGGGCTATCAGGGCAGGGAGGGGATCTGTTTATGCTGTTAGGGAAGGAGAGCTATTGAAGTATCTTGAACCAAATGTCTTTTAATATTTTTTGTTAGCATGGTGCACTTGTGTATGGGTAAATGAGGATATTTGGAGGCCAACAAACTCTTGCACTCCTCTTACCTTTTGCTCTAGCCACTTCTATCACCATTTCTTCCCAGATGATGCTTCCTAGCTTTTCTTCATAGCTGCTATTCAGCAAGTACAGTAAGAAAGTCCTGCCTGTTACAACTATGGATTTGAGTTACCCACAAGTGTAAATGAAAGCAAATGTTTTTCTCCTTTTCTGCTCTTCTTCTGAAGGCATGAGAGAAAAATACATGCATGTGACATAGCTGTCAGTTCAATATTATGTCCTATATTATACATGGGGTTTTTTGGTAACCCCTCAATAAAGTAAGTTAAAAAGACAGTATTTCTGTGAGCATCTATTCCCCGATGGAGGATGGAACTTAAGAATATCTACACCTCTTAGAGAAGGCATTTGGGAAACTGAGAATTCTCTTTTTCTTTTAGCACTTGAAATGTTTTGTTAGAATGTTCCTGAGAAGGGAAGAACAATAAAATTGGGCTGGCAAGAGGAGGTAGACTTATTACAGGGCAAGTGTGGAGTGAGACCAAATGATTTCTGTTGGCATTCGAACAACTGTCTTTCAAAAGTGACTGTTTCTTTTTAGAAATATTTTGTGTTTTGAATATATTTTAATGAAGATTTTTAACTGTACAAAACTTTTCTTCAAAATTGGGGGGGGCTTTTCAAACATGAAGTGATTGATGATACTAAAGTAAAAAATAAAAAGCTCTAATGTGCTTGGCTTTCAGAAGGAAGATTCTTCTATCAGTGTTTGTGTGAGATTTGGAGACCTTTCATGGATAAAGTTGCTAGGATTCATTTATTTCAGGCCATGTATTACTGGCTCAAAAAATTTTGCTATATGTTAATGATATGCCTTATGAATGAAGACAGGACAAAGCTTAATAGGATAAGTTGGTCAAGTAAAATCTTTGAATCAGTGCAGTAGACTAATACAACAAACTATTTTATAAGTGTATAATTGGAGTTTATTATTTTACTTTGAGGTAATATAACAAAATTTTATAACAATTTACAAAGTATATAATTGCCATAAGACAGCATGGAAACATTTTGTATTGCTGTCATAACCTAAAAGGTAAAAATCAATAATATTAAGAAAACTGAAGTAGTGTTTCACACCAGTAGAGAACGCAGTAAATAACTACTGAGTAATCTATTTTCTTGTTTGGTAATAGTCTTATATCTGAATTTTTGCCCTCCTTTCTTTAAAATTATTCTTTATTGTTATTATTGACCTGTTCAAATGATTCCTTTTGCTGTGATTAACACTGAAATCTTGGCATCTGAAAGTTTATATTCTGCTAGAAATCCTGGCTTCTATTTCATTTAATACAATGGCTTTTCCTTTTAGACTGATTTTGCTAGGTTTAGTGGAACTAATGTGGAAACAGACTTTGTAGAGGTACCTTCACAGATGTTTGAGAACTGGGTGTGGGAAAAAGAACCACTACAGCAAATGTCAAAGCATTATAAAGATGAGAGCCATGTTGGAGACACTCTCCTTGAGAAACTTGCTGCCTCTAGACTGGCTAATACAGGTATCTCTCTGCCCTCTCTCGCCACAGTGTATGTATAAAAATATATCATCTAAAAAATTGGTGGGAAACATTAAAGACAAACGTAACAAGCCTCTTACATTTCTTCTGTGTGTATACTTATCACTGTCTTTCTGGGTTTATTTGTGTGGGTACCACCATCAATAAAGGCTATGATGACAGATACCACTGCTTGCAGGAACAGTAGCAGCTCTGATTTTCCAGGCTACCCACAGGACTAACATACTTTAGCATGCCTCTCCATATGACTTTTTTACCTACCAGCTTTGCTCATTTAAAATTGGGGCGGGGGGGGAAGGTCCTGGGTTTTCTGTTGGGTTTTTTTCTGGTAGCCCAGGGCAGGCGCTGTGCATGAATACAGCATCAGATTTTCTACAGCTGTCATCTACATTTGATGCATGTGACACTTGAGAGACATGAAAGGTGTTTGCAGATTTACTGAACGTATGTAGCATATCCCAGACAGAAATGTTGTAGCCCTGCATTGCTCAAGCAGCCTCTTAACTTCTCAATCTAGTACCTTAAGCCCATGCTCTCTACCTTCCTAGCAGACATACTGCCTTCCCAAACTAAGGTCCCAGTTCTCCTTCCACATCTTGTACTGCCTTACATGTATCTCCAAACCAAGATTGTAATCTCATGTCATTACCTATCATCTCATTGTTATTCTGTCACTCTCACCCCTCTGTCCCCGTAATCGGGACTCCCCCAATATCGTAGTCTTACCCATTTATGGTACAATTTGTCATTAAGCCACTGCTGTTTATTTCATACTGCTGCCCTGTCCTCCTCCTGGCTTGTACATGTGCTGTAGCTATAAAAGCATTTTGTCTGAGTAAAGGTTCGTATCTTGTACCTTCTTCAAAAAAGCCTACAGCAGCTGCAGCAGCATTTCTTGCTGTTCTTTGAAGTGTCTTAGGGTAGATATAGATCCTACCATCTATGCAAGCCCTAAATGAAATGGTATACTGGAAGTGAAGACAGCTGAAAACATGATTTTAAATACTGAATTTGCTTTTAAAATCCCTGCTTTATTTTGGTTTTGATCTGTGAGGAAAATAACATTTCAAAAGATGGAGCTTATAATGGCAATTCCTTTATTAAAAATATGCCTCTCAACTGTTTGTAACTGAAGCAATTCAGATGGAAATGACGTAACTCCAAGGTTTTTTTCCATGGTTAAAATTCTAATAATTTAGGATGCATGTTGAGATCTTTGAATGAAAGGTGGTAAAGAAACTCCAGCTACTTTGATGCTAGTTAATTAAATGTTCTTACCCAATTAGGCCTTTTAACCCTCCGTCAGATTGTTTTGAGCAAAGTTGACCAGGCACTGCATACAAAACCATCTGTTGACCCAGCAGATGAATATGCTAAATACTGTGTGGAGATTCTAGGAATTCCTGCCACACCAGGTATGTAAGTATGAAGCTTTTATACAGCATGTCCAAATGGTTTGATTAAACATGCTTTTCTTTCCCAATAATGCTTGGCATACCAAAACCGTGAGTCATTGTTTATAAAAGAACCTACTTTATGAAGCTGAAATAATTACTTCAAAACTTTGGGTGATCTTAATGATCTCTTCTGAAGGAATATTAAGGTAAATATAAAACTTAACCTTTTGCAGGTTATATTTTAGAGTGGCATGACATGAATACCACTTTAGATGTTCTGTCACATCTGTGTTGGATGTATGAATTGAGCTTCCTTTGTAGTCAACAGAATATGGCCAGTACTTTGAGGCATACCCAGACCCTTTATGTTAGAAGTTTCAAAGTAGTTGATAGAAATTCCTTATTAATTTATTCTTAAAGTTGAAGTACTGTATACATCAAAGAAACCGCATTAGATTTAAATAAATTAATGTTAATTTACTTTTCAAGGAACAAACATGCCAGCTACTTTTGGACATCTGGCAGGTGGTTATGATGGTCAGTACTATGGATACCTGTGGAGTGAAGTGTTTTCCATGGACATTTTTTATAGCTGCTTTAAGCAAGAAGGAATAATGAATCCAAAGGTAGGTTATGAATACTTTTTACTAAAGACTTTTGTGGCAGCTTGTCTGAAACCACATTTATTGCAATCATGATCCATAGGTATAACATCTCAAGTACTTCTTCTGTACCCATCAGGTTCAGATCAACAAAAAAAAAGGTGTATAAATAATTACTTTAGAAAATAATCTTAAAATTTCCAGGAGCACTTGGACTTTAATAGAATTATTATGTAGTCACATATTTAGTATTATATTATGAGACTTTTAAGACACTGTGTTGCATTGTCTAATGCCTTCGTCTTTAATTTTAGACTGAAAAAACATCCTCCATTGCAAGAGCAGATGCATATTCTTCTGCTGTGAAAGCTGTATGATAATGGTGCTCTGTCTCCATTAATAGTACCTCAAGTGTGTGGTACTTTCATGTAGTTATTATTATTTAGAAAACTGAATTTATTTTGAGCTTTCTCTTTCACAGCATAACTTGCAAATTTTTTCCTCTTTAGTTTTTCTCCCGAGTGGCTTTTGAAGTTCAAATCATTGACAGGTTCTAGATCTACTGGGCTGCTTTTCCCTTGTGTCATTTTTCAGCCTCTTCTGCCTCCAGCAGAAGGAAAGGATAGTTAGTGATGTAGTTAGTAGTCCTGCGAACTCTGCAACCTTTTCTATGTTTCAGAGATTATACTATTAGACTTGTGAGTTGAGATGCTGCAGTTCTATCATGGGCAAGACCTTTCAGTTTTCCTGATTCTCTTATCTGTCTTCTGGATTCAGCAGCCAGCACTATTTCATCCCTTCAGTAAATGTATACAAGAGAGAAGTAAAGGAGAGAGTAGAAAGTGCTTAACTTTCCTGTTCCTCTCCTGGAATTTGCCTTCATTCCTCCCTTTCCTTATCACAGCAACCAAAACTTCTAGAACTGTCCCGCCCTCTAGAGGGTGGAGAAAGTAAACAAGATTAGACTTTGACCTGGACAAAGAGAGGAGTCCAAAGAGGAGATGGGGCTAGAAAACTGGGGCAATGGTTAGGCCAATAAAACCCCAAAGGGATTTTATAAAGAAAAGCAGCAAACTGTATAATTTGAGAGGAGAGGTGATGAAATGTTTGGAGGTCAAGATTGATTTTGAAGTGCTAGGGATTCATAACAGGTGCATGTGAGAATAAGCATACCTGTTTATTCAGTAGGAATGTTGTCAGTCATAAATAAGAGCAGGAGAGAAGAAATGGCAAGTTAAATAAGAGAATAAAATAACTTTTTAATAAAATGCTGTTCATATGGATCTTAAAAAATGAAATTTAGGGAGGGGTCAGACTTGCTGGGTTTTTTAACTCAGCAGTTGGGGCAGGTGGATAAGGGTGCTGGTGCCAGACTTGTGGGACTTTGTGTCAGTTCTCTGTTCTGACACACGCATATGCCTCCAGTGTCATCACAGACCTTTTTTCCCTTAGCTTTACTCCCTACTCTCAAAACTCTTTTTTGAGTGATTGTATAGTCAAAACCCTAAGCTATAGTTTGCCAGAACTGCTCTGTGACCTTTACTTCTCCTGAGGGATTGTCCTGGTTTCAGCTGGGATAGAGTTAATCTTCTTCCTAGTAGCAGGCACAGTGCTGTGTTTTGGATTTAGTAGGAGAAGAATGTTGATAACACACTGATGTTTTAGTTGTTGCTAAGTACTGCTTATGCTAGTCAAGGACTTTTCAGCTTCCCATGCTCTGCCAGATGCACAAGAAACTGGGAGGGGGCACAGCCAGAATAGTTGATCCAAACTGACCAAAGGGCTATTCCATACCATGTGATGTCATGCTCAGTATAGAAACTGGGGGGGGTTGGCCGGGGAGCCACGATCGCTGCTCGGGAACTGTCTGGGTATTGGTGGGTGGTGAGCAATTGCATTGTGCATCACTTGCATTGTATATTATTATTTTATTGTTACTATTATCATTACTATTTTACTTTATTTCAATTATTAAACTGTTCTTATCTCAACCCAGGAGTGTTTCTCACTCTTACTCCTCCGATTCTCTCCCCCATCCCATCGGGGCAGGGGGAGTGAGCGAGCAGCTGCATGGTGCTTAGTTGCTGGCTGGGGCTAAACCACGACAGGGATGAAAGTGCCTTTTATTCTGATGGTTTTTGTGGGCATTTTTATTTTCTTTGTCTGTGTATGGGAGGCTTTGAGAATAAATTAATTATGTTAGGAGTGAATATGTGCCATGGTTCAGCTAAAAGGCAACTAATGCCTCTTTCAATGTGAAGCCTGCTATCTAGTCTAGGAAGTGAGGAAGAAAAATGATTATTTGTGTGCGTGTGTGTGTGAGACTCGCTCTCTAGCATATGTGTGCACACACACTTTGCTTAATTGCTGATAAAACTTCAGGGGTAACTGGAGATTTTCCCTCCCTCTTCAGAGCAATGCTATCTTCTCAGATTGGTTCTTTCAACTTGTTTTCCTTATTTGCATTCCGTGTAAGTGTAATAGAGTTCCACAGGATGGGACAAATGATCTTTTATAAACAAATACCAGATACCAGTACGATTTTTGTAGTTACTCATATTTCATTATATCTACATTTAGACTAGTCTTCAAAACGGCAGGAAAGGAAAACGGTTATGGTGTTATGACTAGGGCTTTTAGAAATTTGGCTTACCTCTTCCTGTTAGAATAAAACCTCTCTTCCTGTTTTGAGCAACAGTTATAGAAATTAGTTTCAGAGACTGTATCTATAAAAATTCTTCAGCAAACATGTAACTCTAACTTAATTGGTTGTCACACTTCTCAATTCTTGCACATTATCTGAAATAACCTCTGGTCTCCCTAAAACTGAGCAATGTGCTGGCTCTGGAGAGACAACAGCAAAGACTCATGTCTACTCAACACTTAAACTACAAGGAACAATACCTTCATTTGCTGCTGATGTTCAGGAAACTAACACAAATAGCAAAGTATAAGCAATGCTTCAGTAAATATTTTTTTTTTTTTTTGTACCTAGTTTTTTCCAGCTGTAATTCAGACAATGCAATTGGTAATGCAATTAAGTCATGGAAGTCCATCAGTTAAAAAGCCCTATGCTTGTTTTTGCAGTACAGCTATCAGGAAGTGGTGTGGTCCTGTAATCTCATAGCTTTGACATGTGGGGGAAGTATATACGTCTATATACAGTGACTAAAAGGAAGAACATTGTTTTCTTCAATATCAGAAGTATCTGCATGCAAAATAAAATGTTCTCACTGATAGACATGTCTCAGAAACCCAAAATTCTCCAGATATGTTCTTTAAAATATGACCTCTTGTTTAAGAAAGTCCTCATTACTGTTGTCTCAGAAGCTTGGTTCATTCTTTTTAAAGGAATCTATTCCTTCTGAGGTAATAATGTTTCTTCCTGAAAATAAAACCTGAGTTAAGTCTTCGTAACTTTAAGGTACTTTAATAGGGGAGTTAGATGTGTTTCTATATATTATATATACTACTGTGCATAGTATGTGTGTATGTGCCATGTCATTCCTCAATGTATATAGATCTGTCTCTGAACTATCATCTCTGTTCTCCAAACAGAGATGAAAGAAAGAAAAATCATCAATTAAGAGAGAATGGATGTTAGGCTCCCTTTTCCTGCCAGTCAGTCACGGTGATAATCTATCACTGACGATTGCGTGGAGATTGTTCATGTGTTATGCTTTATAGAATGTCTTCCAGACAAGTTTTGACTGTAGTTCCCAAAACAGTGTAAAACCACAAGAAAAACTATTTCTTCAAGAATAGCTTAAATTTCTGCTCTCTTGAGTTCTTCCAGCAGATCTAAATTATACTTGTGCTGTATCCTGATCTGGTATTAAGAAAATCTGGAAGGAAGGAAGGTGTTTAATCATAAGTAGATTTTTAAATACACAACAAATACAGAAAAGAAGCAGTTTGCAAGATAAGAAATACTAACATTCTGTTTTACCTTTTATCAGGCTGGGATGAAATACAGAAACCTCATTTTGAAACCTGGAGGATCTTTGGATGGGATGGATATGCTACAAAATTTCTTGGAGCGTAAACCAAGCCAGAGGGCTTTTCTATTGAGTAAGGGATTATGTGTTCAGTAAAATTAGGGTTCCTTTGTAATGACATATAAGTATGGAATGAGTTGGAAATGTCAGTGTATTTCACATCTTAACTATGTATCACTCTAGGGAAATTGGGTCACTTTTTGATGATTTATTTTTTTTTAATTGTATAAATAAAAATCTGAATTTTTAAAAATTGCATAGAAGTACAAAATTCAACACATCAGGGAAAAAAATTCTGAGATGTGCAGAAGCTGAGGAATTTGGATGCTAATTTTTTTTAATTGTTATGAAATAATACTCATCAGTATGGGGAGTTGATGCCATGTTTCTCTTTTAATTGATGCACTTAAACTATGTCTTGTGAAAAATTTTAGAACTGGAGGGGGGAAAAAAAGGACACTACCAGCAATAAAAGAAACATTCATTCTTATTCTGTATTCTTCTATTGTATTGATGGCTCACCACTGTCTTTGATGGGGAGGAAGTGTGTTTGATTTCATCATGGTTTGGGTTCCGTCTAGCTTCCTGACAAATTTCAAGTCTGAGAGCCTGCCCCAGACAGCTTTGCAGCAGAGATACTTGTGTGATACTTTTAGACTTCATTCTGATGCATGTTAAATTCTTGTTCCTGGTGGGAATGGTAAAAGTCAGTCCAAGATTTTCGTATTCCTTTCTAGTGTGGCATGCAGAGGTGCTACAAAAAACTTCATAGTTTTAATGATTTCAGCTGTGGGAGTGTGAAAGTAATCAAGGAATTATTTTGCAGTTTTTCTGCAAGATCAGGAAAAATGAATCTTACAAGCCAACTCCACACCACCCAAATAAAACTGCTAATGCAAGTACACTTTTTGTGTCTTTAGATTTCATACCTTACTTTGGTTTTGGTATTACAACATGTATATGAACAAACTTTAATTTTGGTTACTAGCTAATATATTATAGATATTTGAACCATAGCTGTAAACATGGTTGGTATTCTTATTTGTTTTTTCAACCACAAAGTAAGAAAATGTGCCTGGTCAACTCAAAAGACTTCCTCTTTCTAGCAAAAGAAAACTGAAAGCATTTACTTTGGGTCAAATTTATATGTTT